AAAAAAAAAAAAACACAGGACAATTCAACAAAATCAGGAAAACAATACACAAAATGAGCAATTTAACGAAGAGAAATCATTAAAAAAAGAACCAAATAGAAATCCAGGAACTGAATAATTCAATGAATGAAATAAAAAATGTTCTCTACATGTGATGTAGAGGGCATCTCCACCAGAACAGATCAAGGAACAGAAAGAATCAATGAGTTAGAGGAAAGGAACTTTGAAATAATCCAATAAGAGGAGAACGAAGGAAAAAGAATAAAAAAAGAGCAAAGAAAGTCTATGTGATCTATGGAATACCATCAAAAGAGCCAAAAATCAAGATCACTGGGATTCCAGAAGGAGAAGAAAGAGAGAAAAGGAAGCAGAAAGCTTATTTAAAGACATAATGGCTGAGAACTTCCCAGACTTGGAGAACAAATTGGATGTCTGGTTCACGAAGCTAATAGGTCACCCCATTATTTCAGTCCAAAGTGATCTTCTGCAAGACACTCTAAAATGAAACTATCAAAAGTCAAAAACAAAGAAAGAATCCTAAAGCAGCAAGAGAAAAAAAACAATTATAACCTCCAAAGGAATCCTCATTAGACTATCAGCAGATTTCTCAGCAGAAACCATGCAAGCCCATAGAGCGAGATTATATATTCAAAGTGCTAAAAGAAAGAAAAAAATCTCAGCCAAGAATATTCTACATGGCAAAATTATCCTTCAGATTATAGAAATAATGACTTTTCTAGGAAAACATCTGAGGGAGTTCATCACCCCTAGATTGGCCTTATAAGAAAAAAAGTTTTCCAAGCTAAAATGAAAAGATGCTAATCAGTAATAAGAAACAATACGTTGGAAAAGGTAAATATATAGTCAGATTCAGAAAACTCTAATTCTGTAATACAATAGTATGTTAACCACTTAACTACAGTATAAAGGTTAAAGGAAAAGAATGTTAAAAATAACTATACTTACTGTAATTTGTAAGTGAATATGCAATATAAAAACAGATCAACTGTGACATTAAAAGCATAAATGGAGAGGGGTGTAAAAAGATTTTATTTTGTATGCAATTGAAGTTGCGATCAGCATAAAACAGACTTTTGTATCTATAAGATGTTCTGTGGAAGCCTAATGGTAACAACAGAGCAAAAACAGTTAGTAGATTTACAAAAGAGAAAGAGAAAGAAATCAGAGGATACCGGCACGGAAAAGCAATTCACAAAGATAGCCAAAAAAAATTAAAGAAGGAACAATGTAACTACAAGAAAGCAATTAATACAATGGCATTTGTAAGTCCTTACATAACAATAATTACTCTAGATGAAAATGGATTGAATTTTCCAATCAAGAGACACAGAGTGCCTGGAGGGATTAAAAAAATAAACAAAAAATAAACATGGCCCACCAAATATGACCCATATGGGACTCACTTCAGCTCTAAGTGCCACATGGGCTCAAAGTGAGGAATGGAAAAAGATATTCAATGCAAATGGAGAGCAAGAGAGCAGAGGTAGCTGCATTTACATCAGACAAAGTAGAGTTTAAGCCAAAAATGGTAACAAGAGAAAAAGAAGATCATTATGTAATGATAAAGGGGCCAATTCATTAAGAAGGTATAAAAATATAAAAAACATATGTACCCAACATTGGAGCATCCAAATATTTTAAGCAAAAATGAACAGATATGAAGGGTGAAATAGACAATGATGCAATAACAATAAAGAATGTACATACCTCACTTTCAGCAATGGAGAGATCATCCAGACAGAAAATCAGCAAGGAAATGTTAGACCTAATCCACACTTTAGACACAATGGACCTCACAGACATATATAGAACATTCCATCCAGCAGCAGCAGGATACACATTCTTCTCAAATCCACATGGAACGTTCTCCAGAATAAATCATATGATAGGACACAAAACAAAAGAAT